GTTCAGAATTGTATCCATAGCAACCCATGTAGCAAGAAATGAAATCTGATATGAATAGTCTCATACAGAAGAGCCGTATGCAAGTCACACACTCTCTGAGGCGGAGTGGTTGTGAACCAGAGAAAATAAGATGCATTTTCTTTTACTTGTTGCTTCTTTCCAAGTATTCCTGCCATGCCCCATTTCATGAATAAAATGGGCTGACAAACCAGCTATTATTCCATTGCCTTCAGCTATTTGGACCTAGGCCAGTGGCCAGTAGAGAGGCCGAGAAACAAGCGTCAGCTTTGCCAGCACTTGAGCTAATAAATGAACTCAGCTCACAGCTGCATCTACGAGCTGCTTATGTTCCCCTGGTTAATGTCAACCTTGTTTCCCCTTCCAGTGACATGGAGCTTTTGTGTGTGCAGAGATAAAACCAGCAAGTGGTCGATAGTTCCTAAGGGAACAGAAATATTCCTGAGTGCTAGAGGGTCATGTTCACTAGAACGGCCAAAAACAGAGAAAGGAAACTCAGTGAAAAGCCGAATGACCTCACCCAGTCTCTTCCTGCAGAATTCCTAGGAGACAGTAGGCTCTGAAAATCACTTATCAAAACCAGACGTCAGAGAAATAGCCAAGGCATACCCCAGAATTCCTGTGAGAGGACACAAAAGTTCAGGCATTTCTCAGACAACTGAAGTGGATGTTGGCTGTCCTGCTGGGGAGGAGCCCCTACATCCTACAATGAAATGGCCTTCAATAGATGCCGGGGGGGTTACCTCCTGTACATAAAAACACACAGATGGTGATACGAACATCAGCAACTGAAACAAAAAGAGCCTGGAGTCGCTGGCAGGCCGGTCCATTTGCTTATTCTAATATCAATAACACCAAACACAAGCTGACACCAGTGAATTGTTGGAGGGAACACAATACTACTTTGACATACTAACAGCTGCACCATGCTTTGATGTCTCTAGAAAACTATATGTTTATCAGAACTTTTTTTTAATGGTGAAGTATCACTGCCTTCCCTGGAGTGTCAGCCTCTTGATTCTTTCTATACATTCTGCAAGATGCTTTTTAAGTCAGTTAACACTTTCAGAGCTGCTGGTTAGAAGTCACTGTGATTCATTAAAAGGTGCTTCATTTTTCAAACCAGTTACGCTTTTCCTTTTATTTTTTTGCTGGTTGCTAGGTGTTTTACATAAATGGTTTTTATTTACACCTTCTCTTTGGACGCTGCAGTGTGAAATGTAATTTTGCAGGCCATGTGGTGTCAGCTTGTGATAAATGGAAGCCATTGTTGCTTCCGTAGGAAACAATGAAAGCCAAAAAGGACAATTTGCTGCAGTCCCCAGGAATGCAAAAATAATATGTCACTGCTCTCTACAACTAATGAAGACAAACCCTGGGAGTAAGCCCTTTTGAGGGAGAAGAGAATGCTTTTGCATAAGATTTAAGTCTATAATTTTTTTCATATTAGAGCGCATTAGACAAGAAAACAGCTAATTTACTCTAGGTTTTTCCTCCATACTGAAAGAAAACAATTGTTCAAGAGACTGAAGGACAAATTTTATTAAGAATATTTCTCCAGTATTTTTCTCTCTACTTCTCACTGGTATTCCTAACAGATTTTCCCCTGCATTCTTGTGTCAGAGAGGCTCAACGTTTCAACTCAAAAATTTAACTTGCAGCTTTTCATAAAACAGAAAGGAGCAAGTTATTACCTGCAGTGCTCAAACTGGCCCTTTTACATGCTGGAGGAGCTCATGTGTGCACTTCACTGAAGTGAGAGTAATGAAAAATCAACGATCAGCTTTCTACTTCAAGAAAGACATAATTGTCCTAACTATATATAATCCTACTAGACTTACATGTTTTATAAGTTTTTTTTTTGCTCAAAGATGGGTAGCAAAATGGGAGAATAATCCTTGAACATTTTGGGGAAAGTTATTTGAGATAGTGTTTACTTAGTGCTTTAGATCCTGCGTTATCACAAAAATGAAAAAACACCCCTATACAACATGCTGTGATAATTCTTCATTTTTCTTCAGTTGATAAAAAAAATATATGAAACTGCTCTAATTTAGCCTTCTGTTGTACAAACTCAGTTTCCATTGGCATCAATGAAAACTGCACTGGTTTACCAGCTGTACCTCTTTGGTTTCTACCATCATTGCCATATTAATAATAAATTGGCACTCGTAGATTATAGATTATATACCAAAATTATCAGATTTGTATCTATTGTAATATAGTGGGGATTTTCCTGATCCTGTGCATTACAACTTTTAATTTATTGTAATAAGCTTCAACCTTTTAAAGTAACTTGACAAAGTACGGGGAGTGGGAGTAGGAGAAAGGGTAAAATCAGTAAGAACTGAAACAGTCTGAACAGACACCAACACAGATATTAGGCATAAAGAGCCAAACCTGAAACTATTTACAGCCTTTTGGGACATCTAGTACATTCTACATAAACTTATAATGTCAGACCTCGGAGGCCAGCACAGTAAAATATGAATACTTCCGTGAAGCTATCAGATACTCTCTTTATGTTCAGTTCTTCCTGCAGTCACAGAGAATGCAGTTAGGATATTCCAGGCACTTGGTTAAACAACTTAGTAGCTAAAGGGGAAGACAGCTCCGCATCCCTGGCACTCTTGCATACTTTCTCTGGATGGATTTTTTTCATATGAAGGAGCAGAAGACCGGTGTTATATTTAGTGGGATATTTATATAACATGTACGCAGATCCCAAAACCATGTTAATTTACTGTTAAGTTTTGCAAAGTACAATTTTAGACAAGATGTCTTAAAAGAACAAAATGCCAAAATGAAAATGAATGGAAGACTGAGTTAACATGATAGAGAGGATGTTGCCATTGCATCTACTGCAATACCTAGAACGTCTTCACTAACCAGTTTTCATTTGATCCCTTCAGAAGCACCTGAACTTTGAGCCTGGACTGTCTTATTTGTAGTCCTGTGCAAGTAGCATGTAGTGCACATCAACTGTGTTTTCCAAAGTAATATTATATGAATATTTTTCTCTCCCATCAGGAGTTTCTTGGAGCCTCTGTCAATGCCAGCTTACCTTCCTGCATAAATTAATTCTGTATTCTCCAAGTAGAGCAAATGTCATTAGAAGCTGGGGTATTACTCTTTTAAATAATGAAGAAATGTCTGTTACAGGATAAGAAGGCATGTATATGACAAATTAAATCACAAAACTTATTGCCACAAGACAACCATTAGGCATGTCTATTATTCAGTTGTACTAAGGCAGTATAATGATGCTCATTAAACTCAAAGGAAAGCCAGTGTCACTTGAAAAAAAAGTTGGACTATTAACCCCTGTCATCAAAGGAGGAGTCTGAGGGAACTTGCTTTCTTGAATTTAAAAATGATCTAAAGAATCAACAGGTGCCATGGACAAGCTCAGAGTTAACTTTCTTTCATTATGATGAAAATAATTTAAAAATTAATAATAACTGTTATTATTGTTGATATTCCACAGGCTGCCTAAATTTATACTGGTGTGACTGGTTTCTTCTACTCATGAATAACATTGCTACTCATGGATGACATGTTTCCAGGCTCTGATTCATATTTCCTAAAAGCGTTACCTGTTGCGTAGTTTATTTCATACACAGTTTAATTCTTACATTAATCAGATTATAAATACATAGTCCAATCCCTATCCTGCTCTGTACCGCACCATTATACCTGTACTTTAATCTTTTTAATGACTTCTCCTCTATATTGGATCTACTTTTTGAAGATATTTAATTTGTTCTGAGCTTCTCTGGTGAATTCACAGTAACTGTACCGGCTGTTTGATTGTGTCTCTCTGCTGTGCACTCTGGAAAATCTGTTATCCAAGTGTATTTATCTTCTCTGCTTTCTAAGCTTGGTACTTTAACAGATTTGTTGTTTCATTGGTGACCCTTTGTATTGTCATTGAGCATTAGTGAAAGCTTTTCATTAGTCATTGTACATAGGGAGAAATCACAGTTGTATTCAATTTGAACTTGTTACAAAACAGATTTCTATATTCTGAAGATAGTTTTCTATCAGTTACATCATCAAATGATATAACAGAGAACCTTCCTCTTATAGAAGGAAAAAAATCTGGGATAAATCTTCCTCATCCTTTCTTGTTCCAATTTTCTCTTCAGATATACACAACTTAGGCTGAACCCCTGTATTCTGTGGTGCCCAGAACCGCTGGTTGTCATATGGGGCTTCATTGTGCCAAGTGCTGTACAGTGGAACAGAGGAGTTTACTGCTCTTAAGGTGGTCAAGCTGCTAGGTTTGACAGAAGGCTACATAGAAGTTGGCCACAAACCAAGGTATTTGCTCCCTGTGCATCCCCAGTGAACTGTTTGTTCCTCAAGCCTCGGAAGAAGTCTTCATGGGTTGTTTCCATGAGGCAAATTTCAGTACAGAAGGAAGCTGAAAGGGAATAATTTTGGAAGAGCTCTAGCAGAATGCTCCTAAGCCTTCTCTCACTGATTTTGGCATGACCATGGGCTATTATTAGGAAATAAATGCAATGTGGAAGAGATAGATCTTATTTTATCTCTTTCTTTAAAATCAGAGATTTTGTGAGTCAGAGACTAAAAATATATGGTAAAATCTTTGAAATGCACTGACATTTTAGGACTTGTTGTAGTGGATACGAAAGCCAGAATTTCCCAGTATTGCTGTCCAGAATGTGCACTTTAGTCTTCATAATGTTTACTGACTTTTTTGTGACATTTGGATGCATTGTTAGAAGCACTGTCATGAAGAATTTCTTTAGAAGCTGTGCTACCCGGTATGTCTGGGTCATTGATCTGTGAGCTAAAAAATCCTTCAAGGCAACAGCGAGAGGATAAAAGCAGTTATGTACTCACAGGTCACCAACCCAACCAGCAATTGCTCATGCTGGCATGGTGAGGAGATGCAGCTTATCCCCCTATACCAAAAAAAGAAGGCTTCTACCACGGGGTGAGAGACTTCATTCACAGGAGAGTTTAGGCAGTGTCCCCGCTGCTATTCTCCCTGGGGTGTGAGTGGAGTTTGCGCTTGTCTTGTGCCGCTTTCCTGAGATAAAATGAAGGAAGAAGTGAGCAAGTGTTGGCCTGGCACTCAGTTTCACTCTGCCGTGCTGTCTAGTCTTTCATTTGCCAGGCCTGTAATGTTACCTCTGTGTCTGAATGTTTGTGTGTCTGCCTAGGTCTGGAGAATTGTAGCCATCTAAATCAGGCATAAATGTTGGGCAATGTTAAAAAAAATTGTGAGATAAAGGACAATTGGTGGCTGCACTTGTTGCTTCTGCCCTCTGCTCTTCCTGACCATCCTCTGCAGTGAAATTCATTGTGGAGAGAAGCTTAAAATACAGCTGGTCCAGCTGCGATCTCAATTGCTCAGCCTTTACAAGCTAGACAGATTTGTGCTGTCCTTTGCTGGTGATGTGGATCTTATTAGCAGAGTAACTGTACAGAACGTGTAGCGTAGTGCCTCATCTTTCAACCCAAGAGAATTTTCCTTTGTAAGGGATGCACTAGCAGCCTTTGTAATCCTGCTATAG